TCTTTACAAAAAGAGAAAAACATCTTTATAGAAAAGACAAAATTGTGATAGCAATGGAATCAACGATCCACAAAGGCAGTGCATATACAAACTAAGATTGATCAAATTTCATTCCACAACGAAAAGAAAAAGATTCAAGTCGGTAATTCAATTCATAGCATTGATTATACACCCGCTGTATTCAGCTTCAACAAATTTATAAATAGAAATATAAATGTTTATTTAAAAAGAGTTCCTGATACAGAAAGGTAATAGTTTCAATCTAGTCACTGAATCTAATTATTTCAAACAAACTACACTTGTAGACATATATAAATAAATTAAGTAGTCAGTGGACTAATATACTAGGAATTACTAGTTGATGATGGAGTTTTGTTCTCTGAGCTGGATGGTTTGGTCGTGGAGCTTTCATCGTTCTTCTGGACGACATCATCAGCACAAACTTCAGATAGAAGTCTGAGCTACAAATCTTCTCCACCATTACTAGTTGATATTTACTAATACACCACTTATGATACTGGGATGACAGTAATTGTTTATTATAGGACAACAAAACCTGACTCTAGAACACGTTTAAAAACTTGATTTTAAAATATTCTTTGGTTTATTCTATAAATGTGGCAATGTTTCTACTGATCCCTGACGTTCTTCAGTTTCTCAGAATTTAACCTTCATGGAACACAAGGTAAACATTTCGTTCTAATACCAAACTATTCAGAGGTCTACTTTCACGACCCACTAGGGAATGTATTATGGATATTCAGGTTTCTAGGCAATCATTAGATTAACATTCATTCAGACGTATTTTTTATGCCAGTCAGTTCGCAATATGCTGTAATTATTGCCATACATGTTTTAGCGATGACTGCTTCATTCTGTTGTGGTTTCTCACTAGAATTTTAAAAAATCGTCATGGAATAGACAGAGAGTGGTCGATAATAAGGAACCCCATATTTAGACCAATCAAGAATACCCCAAGTGGAATTAATTCATAAAGTATATTACCTACGAATTAAATGAATTATCATGAAAATAAAATTGTATCAAAATTAATGATTCTGTTCTTTATTCATTGAGAAATTATGACAAATAAAATTACATAATCAGACTGTATCTGATGGCTCAGAGTCGCTTACCTTGTGTATGTAATTAAAAGACAGATTTACAGATCAACTCATATAATCTATATGTTTTAATGTTTTTCCCACCTGTTCCAGAGAGAATATGTAACTATGTAATTTGAATCAAATGTGTTCCCGAATCTCAATGAGTAGTAGCCTATTTCTTATTTTATTCAGACATACAGAAGCACACTTACTTACTTACGCCTGTTACTCCCAATGGAGCATAGGCCGCTGACCAGCATTCTCCAACCCACTCTGTCCTGGGCCTTCTTTTCTAGTTCCATCCAATTCTTGTTCATTTTTCTCATGTCTATCTCCATTTCTCGGCGTAATGTGTTCTTTGGTCTTCCTTTTTTCCTTTCGCCTTGAGGATTCCATGTGAGGGCTTGTCTTGTGACGCAGTTGGGTGCTTCCCTCAATGTGTGTCCTATCCACTTCCAGCGCTTCTTCCTGATTTCTTCCTCCACTGGGATCTGGTTTGTTCTCTCCCACAGTACGTTGTTGCTAATAGTGTCCGGCCAATGGATCTGAAGTATTTTGTGTAGACAATTGTTAATAAACACCTGTATCTTCTGGATGATGGCTTTCGTAGTTCTCCAGGTTTCCACCCCATACGGTAGAACTGTCTTGACATTTGTATTGAAAATCCTGACCTTGGTGTTGGTTGACAGTTGCTTTGAGTTCCAGATGTTCCTCAGTTGTAAATATGCTGCTCTTGCTTTGCCGATCCGCGCCTTCACATCTGCATCAGATCCACCCTGTTCATCAATTATGCTGCCCAAATATGTAAAGGCTTTTACATCTTCCAAATCTTCTCCATCAATTGTGATTGGATTGGTGCATTCTGTGTTGTATCGGAGAATCCTGCTTTTCCCTTTGTGTATATTGAGACCTATTGCTGCTGAGGCTGCTGCCACACTGTTCGTCTTCTCCTGCATCTGTTGTTGCGTTTGGGATAGAAGGGCCAGATCATCTGCGAAGTCTAGATCATCCAACTGCATCTTAGATGTCCATTGTATCCCGCGCTTCCCTTCAGACGTTGACGTCTTCATGATCCAGTCGATCACCAGGAGAAAGAGAAAGGGTGAGAGTAAGCAACCTTGCCTAACAATACCCTGTTGAAGACTTTTCCCGGTATTGAGAGAAGAGTGATGCCCCTGTAGTTATCACACTTGCTGAGATCGCCTTTCTTCGGTATTTTGATCAGTAGTCCTTCTTTCCAGTCTGTTGGTACTTGTTCCTCATCCCAAATCTTATTGAAGAGAATGTGGAGTATCCTTGCAGTTGCCGCTACGTCTGCTTTTAGTGCCTCTGCTGGGATGTTGTCCGGTCCTGCTGCTTTGCCACTCTTGATTTGTCTGATGGCCATTCTGATTTCTTCAATTGTTGGTGGGCCAACATTGATTGGGAGGTCCGTGGGTGCTGCTTCGATGTTGGGTGGGTTCAGTGGAGCTGGTCGATTCAACAGTTCTTTGAAGTGTTCTACCCACATGTTTTGTTGCTCTTTAATGTTGGTGATTACCTCGCCTTCCTTTCTTTTCACTGGTCGTTCTTGTTTGCGGCGATTTCCAGAGAGTTTCTTTGTCGTGTCATACAATTGTCTCATGTTTCCTTCCCTTACAGCCATTTCCGCCGCCGTTGCTAAGTCTTCCACATGTTTACGTTTGTCGGTTCTGATGCTCCTCTTCACTTGTTTGTTTACTTCTGTGTATTCAGCTTGTGACTTGGCTTTTTCTGCTCTTGTTCGACTGGTATTGATTTCTGCTTTCTTGTTCCTTCTTTCTTGAATCTTATCCAGTGTATCAACAGTGATCCATTCCTTGTGATGATGCTTCTTGTGGTCCAGAACCTCATGGTATGTTGAAGTGATTGCTTCTTTGATCCCCTTCCAGTTGCTCTCCACAGTAGTTCCTTCTCCATTGAGTAGATCATGAAAGGCCTGGAACTTGTTGCTGAGGACTATCTTGAATTTGTTGAGTTTGTCAATATCCTGAAGAAAGGCCGTATTGAACTTTTGTGATATTGTCCGCCCCGTTGTCCAGTGTTTCTTGAGTTTCAACTTCGTCTTGGCGACCAGCAAGTGATGATCTGATGCTATATCTGCTCCTCTCTTGGTTCTCACGTCCTCTATAGTCCTCCTGAACGTTTTGTTGATGCAAATATGGTCGATTTGGTTTTGTGTAGAGTGATCCGGTGAATTCCATGTGGTTTTGTGTATGTGTTTATGTGGAAATATGGTGCCGCCTATGACCAGTGTTGTGACCTTGGATGTCTGACTTTTCTATCACACGACTTATCTACCAATCCGAGTACGACTTATACGAATCTTCACACTAGGCCAACCAATGACGTTCAACCGGTGTGGGCAGTTTAGCGTCCTTATTGGTCCTATGTCCTCCGAACCCTTCCACTTGAGTACAGAACACAACACCAGCTTCCGAATATGAATCGAATCCTTTATTTCAGGCATACTTGGTTTATATATCAATCAGGCAGACCGCAACGTACCATAAAATAGGAAATAATATTTGTACACAAATAAGCCAAAAAGTGGCTGTGAATGAGGGGGACAGTAATTCATAAACCGAACGTAGCTTAAGAACCGTAAATCGTACAATAATAAATTATAGATCAAAATAAAGCTTATCATAAAAGGAATATAAATATACATAGTGTAATTGTTGAGTAGTTATACAATAAGAATATTTATAGAATAATAGTCCATAAATAGTCCTTGGAAGTTACCTGCAATTTAATCTTTACCGGATATAACAACCAGCTTATTGAAGGCACATAGATTTGCAAATCTCTCACCATTTTCGTTTCTTTCTCCAAGTCCGTGTCGTCCCATGATGTCTTCATATCCAGTGTTGTCCGTTCCAACCTTGGCGTTGAAATCTCCCATCAGAATGGTCAGGTCCTTTGTTGGGCACTTCTCGACGATAGACTGCAGCCTATTGTAGAATTGATCTTTAGCGTCTTCATTGTAGTCGTTGGTAGGCGCATAGCATTGGATGATGTTCATTGAAATGCCCTCTTTCTTTGTTTTGAACGAGGCTTTGATGATCCTTGGTCCATGAGATTCCCATCCTATTAGCGCATTTTGTGCTTGTTTGGACAGCATCAATGCAACTCCTTGTGTATGTGGTGCATTTTCTTCTTCATGGCCGGAGTATAACAGGAGCTCTCCTGCAGTTAGTCGTTGTTGTCCAACTTGTGTCCAGTGTGTTTCACTGATGCCAAGTACCTCTTGATTGTATCTTCTCATTTCTGCAGCAATTTGGAAGGCTCTCCCGGTGTCCCACATTGTTCGAACATTCCATGTACCTAAATAAATGGTCGCTCTGGTTGTCAGAAGCGGCATCGGCCTCGTAACTTCCGAAGGAATTCGGCTTTCATCATGAGGCGTCATAATTCTTCTAAATGAAGACCTTCTGACTCCCAGGGCAGAGTTTAAAGGGTTTGAATGATTTTTTCTGGTTAGCGTTTTTTTTAGCGAGTTAGTTTTTTTCGGGATGGGGACGCTAACCCCATGCCCAACCCTCCTCCTTTATCCGGGCTTGGGACCGGCAGTAGCCCCCAGAGGGTCTCCAGGCGGAGAATAACAAAACAGACGCTAGCTGTGATTTGCAAGCATATGTGCAAATATCTATATCTCATAAGTTCAGAAACTTCATTCAGCTTGATCATCAGTTACTAAAGCAATGCTGGATACCAGACTCATGTAATTGAAGCAAAACGTCTAACCGAAATATTAAAGACCTTAAGTGAATCTTTATGTTTTGGGTTAAATGAGTATAGCTGTCTGGTCACGTCTATATATATGCACAAAACCCACTGCTTTCTTTCCATACCTATGTTAAGGTATAACGTCTCTTAACGTTTATACATATTCCATAACTTCAGTGTTACATTCGTAGCTTTTGATGCAAATTTTATTCTAAGTCGACATAAATCTGAATATTCTTCTAAACGATCAACGAAGTCACCAATTTTGAATTCGTAAAAAGTATCAGATGATGACAATGAATTAGATTGCACTCTCTTCTCATTACCTAAACGTTCTTGAATCTCTCTCTGGTAAAGCATTTAGCGAACATCTATGATAACATTCTTACCGGAAAGCAGCTGTGAACTATTAAAGTGTCGTATACTAATATGAAGCACCACTTTAATACTATGGAAGTTTCTAATGCTTCTCTGATCGATATCAGTTTTTAAGAAATATTTATATAAATTGTGATCACTTGACACAAAGCTTAGCAAGTGAATAAGAACGAATACACCAAACTTTGTTAATATTATCTTGATTTCAATGCTCAAATTAATGAAACGAAATGTCTTAAACATTCCACTTCATAAGAATAAAGTTTTAGAAAACTAACAGAATATTTTGTTCGGAAAAAAGATAATATTACTTAGCTGGAAACGTGATTTTACATATATTCTTCTATTTCTTTTTACCACTACTATTATCATGGTTTTGTAGCATCGGTTAGTTAAATCGAGTTGGCTCATACGCCTTTTCCATTGAGCGTCTTTTCATTTCACTCTCTTCTCCGTTTTTTTTTGCTTTGTTTCTCTGATCGGTTTTCGGTTTAAATCAACGATTGTATGAAATATACCTATTCAAAATTCGTTCTCGTATTTGGCTTATTTAATTCCTGTATTCACTAACGCGAGTTAAGTTAATAATAATATGTGAGGATTGATGGAATGTATATTTTGACAGCAATCATTCGATAACGATAATTAGAAACGACCTACCTGGAGATAAATATCAGAACACTTAGGTTTATTTAAATTGAAAATAAAAGAATTACTGAACATTCAATAAGGGATACTTTTTAACATTAAAGGTGTTATCACTAGATTCTTATCATGTTAGTTGGTGAATTGTAAATTACTATTTAGTTTAATTTAATATAGTAACAATTAATCCGAGTGGTTTACAGATCATCGAATTTTAATTAATCATTAATTCTACTTTTACCTTCATTATACAAATAGATTAATATTATTTCCTGAAATGTAATGAAGCTATTGATTGATCATTATAACTTTTCTACTAATCATAACAATATTAAACCAAATTATCGCTTTCAATGACACTAAAAATTATTCTGTAATAAAAGATTTAAATAGATTCAGACCAAATTCATTTGGTGTTGTTTTACTTGTATCTTCTCGTAAAAGCTTGTGACTTAAGGCTATATCGAGGCAATCCGCACAGGATGCACACATGTCAACGTGAGACTGATCAATTGCAGTCCTAAATAATAATGGGAAGATACAAGTAAAACAACACCAAGTGAATTTAAACTTCACCCCATTACTCAAGCAGGCGGCTATCAGGACTCAGTATCTAAGTGGGTAACGCGATGGCGTTTGAAGCGAACGGTACCGGGTTTGAGTCTCGGAGTGAACATAAACTGTGGGGTACAGGTACATCTAGCTGATGAACCCCAAATAGGAAGAAACGCGAGTCCTGGATTCCACTGCAAGTCACTATCCATCTTCAGATTCAGACTAAGTTTTTCACGTTTTATATTATGATCTGTAACAAACTGTTCGATATAAATTCATTTTGTATTGTTTTGCTTGTATCTTACCATTGTAGTTTAGGTCTGTAATTGATCAGTTTCGTGTTGGTATATATGCGAATTGCCTCGATATTGCTTTAAGTCACAAGCTTTATAAGCTTATAATATAATTTTAAAATATAATCGATAATAAAATATGAAAAGCTGTAGATTTAATTTATCCTGGAGTTATACATTAACTTGCATCATTGACTATCTATGTTTTAATATAACATCTGGACAATGAATAGGAACAAATATCAAGCAGTTGGAGAAATTACTATTAATACTAAGTGACAATATACTTTTAATCCGTTTAACTATTTTGTGATCTAAATCTATTTTATCGATTGATTGAAATTAAATTTGTACACCATTGAATCTTAAGCTAGAGTTTAGGCGTTGGTCTGTGAGATCAAAGGTCTTAGGTTCAATTCACTGTTGTAGGATCGTGAATGCCCAACTCTAAGTTCTACACAGGGATAAAACACCCATTCAGGACTTCCAAGCTTCCACTAATTGTTTAACTCATGTTGGTTCTTAATTGCAGTGAAATTCGTCAATCTCCAAAATCCTAAATTGATAGTTATATCCTCACTGATGAATTCTCAGCTCATTTTACTTTCACATTGTCAACGTATTCATTTACGTGTGTGTACATTCCAAAAAATAAACAGTTGGTTTTTTGTAGTGATCATTACTGATATTAGGAATACTATTCTTATGACTTTAAATAATTTACCTTGCAAATAGATTTTCTAAAGTTCTATCTGATTAGTTTATTTAAAAAAAGTTGACTTGACCAGGAAACTAATTCATATTGATTTAACCTTGCTACGGCAAGGGTGTTCTTTGAACTGGTATTTTAAAGAGGAAATCCTTTAACAATCTCAATCCTATATATATTGCTTAATTGTTCCTAAAATAAGTCATACCATGCAAACGTTAATAAATATCATGATATTTTCAAAGAAAACCTTAATTTTATGACATTTATATTTCACTAGTTTAAAACATATGTCTGTATTCTAATATAACGAACTTGTACAATAAATAAAAAAGTACATACTGACCGAAATACTGAACTTCGTATTCTAGAATTTGTAAAGTTAATATTAACTTCAATATAAGTCTTCATTGCATTTCATTAGCTGTTATTTATGTGGTACAAACTATACTAGTTCTGTATATGATTTACTGAATGATATAAAAAAATTACTTAACGTACTACTATGTTTCAGTATGTATTTAACAAAACACAAAACTTAGTTGGAAAACCCTGATTACATGGGCTCCAGGATCCTGAAGGAACAAATGGAGTATGAACCAATCGTTGGTCACCGACTACCAAGGGACTGAATCTCCTGACGTTGCTCTACTGCCTTGTGGATTAGACCTTTAGGTGAAATGCTCCGGGTGTGGCTCCCTAAGAAAACCACCTGTTTCTGTTTGGGCACCCGAACAGTATCCCAGCCCTCACACAAATCGAATGATTTATGTAACGTATATGTATTTGGTGCTTTCTTGTACCAATGTTTATGTATTTAAATAAATGAAGTGTTTTTGGTGTAGAAAACATACTTAATTGAGAAGACATTACTCCGATAAGATTATTTTTTTCACAAATGTTTTTTATAAAATGTAACACCATAGATAAATATTAGGTATGGATATTTATATATATCAGTACAAGGTTGTGAAGATTGTTGAGTTTTGATTGAGATAATGAATCGGTCAGTGTTAGACCACCATTCAAAAACAGGAAATAATGAACGGCCGATTCGTATCAAGATGAGACTCCTCAAAAGTGCGCATCCATGATTCTAACTCAAGACATTCGGTCTTATGCGCGAAAGCTTAACCTCTAGACCACTGAGCCGGTATCCGACGGTGGTAATGACGAACTTCAACCGATTCACGATGTTGCACAACCATCTCATGTATAAAAAGAGATTTTCAAAGAATTATAACAAAATATTGAAAATATTCACTTTCTGAATAATGATGGGTAATTATATGATCACTATCCTAACAGAATGGATATTATTACAATTTTGCTAATTATTTTTAATAAAGTCAACCTACTTTAGTGGACCCAATATCTGACTCCAGTTTGATCGTTTCTGGTTGCTATTAATATATATATATATATATATATATATATATATATATATATATATATATATATATATATATATATATATATATATCGCCGATCCTTGTCTACAATCATTTTCTTAAATCGCATTAATGTATAACGGAATTAAATAAGACAAATACCAGAATGAATTTTGAATATGATTTGAACAGGAAACCGGGTAATGAAGCGAAGAGAAGAGAGGGAAGCGAAATGACACTCGGGGTAGATGGCGGGTAAGTCATACGAGAATAGTCACTAGCGATCAACATATGATGTAAATGGAGTCAGATCCCGGGCCAAAAAACTTCTATAATAAAATCATTTCTAGAAGTCAGAGAACATTTTATTGAGCGTTTATTTTTGAAAGATTCACATAATAATTTTATTATTATTTCCGGGATTTAAACACTTTCCTAAATTTAGATTACCGAATATTCAGACCAACAGCTTTACTGTAACCTCGACAATTCCATTCGGTTAACAAAAAAATAGATAGAACAGTATTATTTCAAGGTTACATTGCGTCAGGTGCTAAAAGTACATTATATTAAGTGAAAAACGAATCGACATAATCATTTGCGCGTAAAGATATGAACCTAAATTACAGTACATAGATATTTTACATCCAAGTTTCTGAGTTATACAGAACCTAAATTGTTTTGGAATAAATGGTTAATAAGCTGTACAGTTACTTAAAAGTTACTAGGGTCTTAGTATATGCATAATTTTTAACTGATAGAAATGTCTATATGAACTTGTTTTGTCAATAGAACAGTTGAATATTGACCCAGTATTTGAGTGATTAAAACTCGAAGTTAATGAAGACCTTACCATATCACTGCATAACACGCTATTGATCAACATTAATGCCTTTCATTTTAACAATCAAAAATTTATTTAGTTAAATTATAACACCTCACTTTATAGCACTATCAGTAATATATGTATCCAATTATTATATCCTTAGCTAGTACGATTATCAATTTAGATAGGCTGGCTTTTACAGCCAAAGTAGTAACGCATACACCAGTAGAGGCAGCCTAGAGTTCCGATTAGTCATTTTTCCGCCTACCCCTGCCTGTTAAGTACAGAATGCCAATCTCAGCCTTCTAGATATGAATCATATATTTCAAAAATACTGGGTTTATATTACAAACAAATCAAACCACACCATAAAATGGAAAATAATATTTGAACAATATCAACCTAAAAGTGGATATGATTGTGAGAAACTGTTACTAATAAAGTGGGAATATCTCAAGAATAGTAAATCGTATGATAATAGTCAACAAGTCAAATAAAAGCTTATAATGAAAGGAATATGAATAAACATAATATACAGTTACTTAATATCAGAAGGGGTTTTG